GTGTGTTTTGTGTGTGTGTGTGTGTGTTTTGTGTGTGTGAAGGTAAACAAGGTTGCGCTGTGTCTCTCTCCCACCCTCCCCCTCTCCCCTGTTTACCAGTCCCTCTCACTTTACTCACCCGACCACCACCACCACCACCACCGCCGCCATCATCTCAACCTCTACCCTGCGCAGTCCCTGTCTGGTCTGTCGTTGCGCCGGTTGGTCGCCGTGGAGGCCGCTCTCAGCGAACACAAGGTCGCCAACGCGCGTTGTGTGCGTGTGTGCGAGTGTGTGTGTGTGTGTGCGAGTGTGTGTGTGTGTGTGTGCGAGTGTGTGTGTGCGAAAGCGCTGCATTGTGGATGGGGTCAACTCCAGCCATGCCATGTGCCTGCGCTGGTGCTTGCCACCTTGCTCACACAGCACCACCGTTCATTGTCTCCACTGCCGGGCGCGTGTGCAGACGCCAGCAACATCTGCTGTGTCCCTGCTCTGTCTCCGCTCCCTTGCCTCTTTCGAACACACGTCCATATTCTCCCAGGCCGCAAAGTTTAGAGCCGACCCGTGAGTGATGTGTGTGTGTGTGTGTGTGTGTGTGTGTGTGTGTGTGTGTGTGTGTGTGTGTGTGATGCGCGTGTGAATGTGTGTGTGTGTGTGTGATGCGCGTGTGAATGTGTGTCCATTTGTCTCTTTGCTCTCGTTCATAGCTCTTATCACCATATTCTCCGCTTCGCATTCTCCATCTCACGTCCACCCACACCTCTTTGTGTTTTTGCCTTTCAATTCCACCAGACACTCCCCCACGCGCCTCCCAACTCCCATGTGTCTCGCGTTTGCACCGGCACTCGCTCGTATGTCAATGGATGGCAGTATCGTTTGCACATGAACTTGTTATGTGGGTCGGTCTTTCGGATGGGTTGTGTCACCCGTGTTCGAGGGTTGCTTGTGCTGGTGGTGCTAACCAGCACCGCGCACCGATGTAACACATGATAACACACCTCCTCTCACCATTGACCACCACAACCACGACCACCATTGACCACCACGACGACGACGATGACCACCACCCCCACCCCCTGCTAGCCGGCAAGTTAAAGATCAGGCGCGTGTATGTGCGCTGTCCACGCCTCTTCCCCGCGTTAAAAGCGCATCGAACCCTCGCGGAACTGGAGCGGCACCTGCGGGTACGGCGTGTGTGTGTGTGTGTGCATGTGTGTGCATGTGTATGTGTGTATGTGTGTTTGTGCATGTTGTAACACACCGCTGCTTGCACCGACGTGTGCTGTAGTTCTCTTCTCACTCATGCTTGCCGCATATCCACACGTGCACGCTTGCAGCAACACATCACGCGCAGCAAGACGGGTGCACTCACTGCGAATTACACGGACAGCGGCCACCTCGCGCCAACCTTCGACAAGGTGGCAGGCGCTTGATTGCCTGCCTCTCTGTGTGTGCTTGCGTGCGTGTGTGCGTGTGTGCGTGCTTGCGTGTGTGTGCGTGCTTGCGTGTGTGTGTGTGTGCGTGCTCGCGTCTGTGCCTCCTCCCTCACACCTCATTGCACCACCGTCATCCCAACCACCATCCCCGCTCAATCCTCAGCTCGACCAAGCGCTGGATGCTGTGCGGGAGGCGAGCAAAGCGGCGGGCCTGACGCTCGGCACAGACGTGTTCATGGTGCTGGATATTGGGGCACATGTGTTGTTTGAGCACAACAAGGGCAAATATGAGATCACGCAGGGCGGGCTTAAGACACCGCAGGACTGGGTAAGGATTTTTGTTTTGGGGGGTTGGGGGTTGGGGGGTTGGGGGTTGGGTGGCAGGCAAGGGAGAGGTGGAGTTAGAGATGAGAGGGAGGGGCTCGCAGGAGGTGCGAGACAGGCTGGTGGTGTGCGCATGTTTGCTTGTATGTTTGGGTGTGCATGTGTTTCCTTGTTGTGACGTCTGCTTGAATCTCAAACGCCTGCACTCGCTCACTTGCTCACGTGCACGCGCGCGTTGGTGTGTATGGACATTTGTTTTGTTTTTTTCTCTCTGTTTGGCCAGTGCGATGAGCTGCTGTCGATTGTTCACAATGAGAACAACGGCATCGCGATGGTCATCGACCCCTTCAGGCCGCAGGTAATGGATTGGGGGCGGGGCGGCATTGGTTGGTGTGCAAGGACACCGTGTGGTCGTGTCAAGGGGGCGGGGGAGGGATGTGGATTCTTGCGCGCACATAACAGAATGGTGCTGGACCACGTACACATGTGCATGTGGGTCAATTCACAGCTCACAACGCATGCAAATACGTACACGCCCTCACACACACACCCGCACACAAACACACACGCAAACACACACACACACACACACACTCTCTCTCACTCACACACACACGCACACACACCCGCACACACACACACACACGCACACACACCCGCACACACACACACGCACGCACACACACACACACACACACACACACACACACACACACACACACACACACACACACACACACACACACACACACACACACACACACACACACACACACGCTCGCGTACTCCTGCAACCAGGATGAGATGTGGAAAACGTTTGCCGAGGGCGTGAAGGATTCGCACGTGGACATTTGTTCCGCCGTTGGCGATGACTTGGACGTTTCAGATGATGCGTGCTCCAATGCATTGACGGCTCGCGTGTACACACCCCCACCAACACACCCCATCTCTGTACACATGGAAACAGTGGGTGGGTCGCACGCCTTATTTTTGTGTGTGTGTGTGGCTGTGGTGTGTGCTTGTAAAGGTTTACATTGCATGCGAAAGTGCCGTGCGCACTTGAGTTGATTCAGTTTCACAGTGTCTGCTCCACATTCAATCACCACGTCATCATCCCTTCTGCTCTCCCTCCTCATGTCATTTGCTCGTGGTTGCCGATGTTTCAGGTGCGTGGTCGATGCAAAACCTCAACGCTGTGCTGGCACACGACACCCCGGCCCTCGACAACGACAACCCAGACACTGTCGACATCGTACGTGCCGTTGTTGCGCGGGGGGAAGGGAGGTTGTGTGTGTGTGCGTGTGTGCATGTGTGTGCGTGTGTGCGTGGGTGTATATGTGCGTGTGCTTGTGTGCGCGCGCGTTCTTCTTGTGTTGGGTTATGTAATGCGTGCGTGCACATCCGCGAAAGGATCACGGACCACTTGCTTCTCTCCCTTCCCCATGCCCAACTCACCTCTCCAACCCACCCCTGCCACCCTGTCCACCATCGTGTGTGCATCAGGCTGCGGCGATGCGAGCGCCGTTCATGACGTGTCTGCTGCCATCGCGCCACCCGCGCACACACGACCGCCTCCTGGCCCTCGAGCGCGAGCTCAAGGATATGGTGCGACCCGCTTTGTCGTTTGGTCTTGTTTGGTTGTTTGGTTTGGTTGGTGCTTGAAGATGACAAGCTGCAGTAGTACTTACAACACACCACAACACAACACTTCAACACAAACCGACGACACAACACTCTACTCAGGGCGTGTGGGCGCCTGCATCGCGCATCAACGCTTCGGCAGACAGGCGGTTATCGGCACGCCCCAACACGACCAGCTCTGATGGCGACGGTGATGGCAGTGACAAGACGAGACTGCCAACACTGGCCGATGGCGATGAAGGTGATGGTGGTGACGATGGCGCACCACCAGCTGCCGTCAGACCAAAACCCAAGCGCCACTGACACCTACGTGTGTGTGCGTGTGCGTGCGTGTCTGTGATGTGTGATGTGATGTGTGTGTGCGTGTCTGTGATGTGTGTGTGTTGTGTTGTGTTGTGTGAACTTGCACTCCTCTGCTCCTTTTGCTTCTTCTTCTGTGTTGGGAGGACCTTCAATCAGTTTCAAGTCCAGTGGGCGGTTTTGCCCTTTGCATCTCGCGCGAATACACACGAGCAAACGAGGCAAGCCAAGCATGGAAGACGACGATAGTGATGGTGGTGATGGCGCACCCGTGCATGGTGGCGATGAAGACGAAGAGGAGGAGGAGGTGCAACACGGATGCGGGGGAGAGGAACAGAAGCGTGGGGTGTGCCCAGGAGAGGATGGAGAGGGAGGAGACACAGCAGTGGCGAAGCGAGCAAAGGTGACCACGGCCAATCACACAACAACGACAACATTACCATCACTATCATCGGCGTCGGCTTTGGGTGCACCATGCGCGGCCCTCGAGCGTGCTGGAAGCTCGGTGACGGGGCGGCTGGCGTACGGCCGGAACAAGACGGTGAAAGGCGTGGACCACGAGAAGGTCATGGCGACCATCCTGGCGACCTCGGGGTCATCGGCGTATATGAAGCGGTTACAGGAACGGTCCGCGCGGACGGTCCGCAGCATCGCCAGCAAGACACAGCGGTGGGAGGCGGCAACACCGCGGGAGCGCAGGCGAGCGGCCGCCGTCGCGGAGGAGGCTGTGCGCGAGGCCCAGGAGCGGCTCACGTTCTCGCGTGTGTATGTGCATTGCGATATGGATGCGTTCTACGCCTCTGTTGAGGAGCGTGACAACCCGGATCTCAAGGGGAAGCCAATGGCAGTTGGCGGCATGAAGATGCTGACCACAGCCAACTATGAGGCGCGCAAGTATGGCGTGCGCTCCGCCATGCCAGGATACATCGGCAAGGCGCTGTACGTACAGAGTGGACGTATGTGTGTGTGTGTGTGTGGATGTGTGTGGATGTGTGAATGTGTGCGTGGGCGTGTGCGCGTGGGCTGTCTGAGAAAGGTGACACTGCGTGTGTGCGCTCAGTGACGAAACCATTGCTGATCACGACACCTGTGCAATCTGACTTCACGTACCGCCTGTTCAGGTGTCCTCATCTCATCCTCATCAAGCCGCGCTTCCCCGTGTACAAGAGCGTCTCTGCCATCTTCAAGTCAATTCTTCGCGACTACGATCCAGATTTCCTGTGCGTCTGTGTGTGTGTGTGTGTGCGTGCGTGTGTGTGTATGTGTGTGTGTGCGAACGTGTGTGTGTGCGCGCGCGCGCGCGCGTGTGTGTGTGTGTGTGTGTGTGTGTGTGTGTTTCTGTGTCTCTGCTCATGGTCGCTCGTTCGCATGTGTGCACCTCTGCCCTCACCACCATCTCTGTACCCATCATCACCATCATCACGATCACCACGATCACCACGATCACCACTGTCAGCTCCGGGGGTCTGGATGAGGCGTCACTTGATATCACCGATTGCGTTCAGCGCAGAATGGACCGCGACCTCTCGCTGGTGCGCGCGTGTGTGCACGCGTGTTTGTGTGTGAGTGAATGCTTACGTGTTTGTGTCCGAGTGTCTTGATGTGCATCACAGCGCCGCTTGTCCGGTCCAGCCCCCGCCGTCGAGAAAGCACCATCATTCCATTAGTTCCCTCATCCCATCTCACCCTCCTCCACTTGACCAGACGCGTGAGGCGACGGCGTGTGCGCTTGTGGAGGAGATGAGAGCGCGCATATTGGCCGCCACCAACTTGACGGCTTCAGCAGGAATCGCGTGCACGCGCAGACTCGCAAAGACGTGCTCAGGTGTGGTGGTGGTGGTGGTGATATTGGTGTCGTTGTTGTTGTGTTTCTTGTGTTTGGAGGCTGCGATGGTGCGCATTCCACTGCCAACTGCCGTTGCACGGTGCTTATTGTTATTGTGTGCACTGCAAAATGATATATTTCCACGTTTCATCCTTCACCGCCACTTCACACCACCACTGCTGTGCCACCGCGTGCAGACTGGAAGAAGCCCAACGGCCAGTACTTCCTTCCCTTCACTCTTGACAGCGTGACGGCGTTTCTTCGCCCGCTGCCCATACGAAAACTCTCGGGCATTGGCAACGTGAGGCAGCCATTGTGTGTGTATTTGCGTGTGTATGTGTGTGTGTGTATGTGTGCGTGTGTGCGTGCGTGCGTGTGTGCGTGTATGAGAGAGTGTGTTTTATGCGATTTGACACCCGAACAATTCGTTTCACCACTGCTCACCTCATGCACATCACCATCACCATCCCACCACCACCACCATGCACATCACCATCCCACCACCTCTGCCACCACCATCACCATCACCATGGCGCAGGTGACGGAGGAGCTATTGCGCGGTCTTGGCGTCGAGACGGTGGCAGGCATGTTGGAGCAGAGGGCGAAGCTGCAGCTGCTGTTTCGTCCACGAACGTTCCAGTTCTTTATGCACGTCGCACACGGCGTCTCTGTCCCGCGCACTCGCACGCGCGAGCGGAAGAGCATCAGGTGAAGAAGGGGATGTGGGGTGTACGCCTGCGTTCGTTTGTGAGCATGTGTGTGTGTTTGTGTATGTGTGTGTTTGTGTTGTGTGTGTGTGTGTGTGTTGTGTGTTGTGTGTTGTGTGTGTGTGTTGTGTGTTTGTGTTATGTGTGTGTGTGTGTGTGTGTTGTGTGTGTGTGTGCACGTTGTTCGCTGGCCAACGTGCCCTGTCTTGAACTGCACTTCAACATGCTCACCACCGCCACCCCATTTAATTGTCCTCCAATCGCCTCTCCCCACAGCACAGAGCGCACGTTTGACGCGACGTCGAGCCGTGTGCAGCTGCTGTCCATTCTCAATCGCATCTGTTCCAAGTTGACCGCCGAGATGCAAGAGAAGCAACTGGTGAGCGCTTGATGCGTTTGGGCCTCGCAATTGTGTGGTGTGGTTTCGCGTCGAATATCTCATGAGCGTTTGATATGATTCACATCCTAACACACACACACACACACACACACACACACACACACACACACACACACACACACACACACACACACACACACACACACACACACACACACACACACGGTATGATGTGGGCAGGCTGGGCGGTGCTTGACGTTGAAGGTGAAGCTTGCGACGTTTCACGTGCTGCAGCGGAGTGTAACGCTCCCGACGCCAATCGCCGATTCGTCCGTTCTCTTTGCACAGATGCGCGCCATCATGGCCCGCGAACTCGAGGTGCGAGCTGTGTGTGTTTGTTGTGTGTGTGTGTGTGTGTGCTGGCACCGGAAACGAACGCGTGGATGGCGACACACCACTCCATGTTCTCAACACACACACATGCGCACACATGCACACACACACACATGCCCCACCAGGCTGCGTCGCCATCGCCATCGCGGATGCCTGCTGTGAGATTGCTCGGTGTTCGCGTGTCGTCGTTGACATTCGGGCGAAACCGCGCAACCGTCTTGGACCGGTTCGTGACGAGGCGGGGCAATGGTGGTGGTGATGATGATGGTAGTGATGGTGACTGTGACAAGCAAGGGATGGACGAGAACGAACACAGTGCAAGCCGACAAGACGCCGTTGACACATCCAGCAGGGGCATGACAGCGGTGGACGAAGATGATGGTGATGGTGATGATGGTGATGATGGTGATGAGGATGACATGATGCCTGGCTTGTTTAACGATGAGGTGACAGATATGGCGATGATGGGCGATGATGATGGTGATGTTGATGGCGCCATGGATGATGGCGACGATGGTTTCGCGTTTTCAGACGTCCCACCGCCAGCACGACCACTACCAGCAGCATCACATGATGAGATTGGCAATGGCAACAGTATTCGCGGCCATGACAGTGACAATGACGATGATGACGATGATGAAGTTGTGGTGGTTGAGGCACAAACTCCGTTGCGCGACGCATCGTGTCACCTCGCGATAGCACCTACAGGCGCTGCTTCGACAATCCCCAAGTCTGCGGGCTCGCCTCTCTGTCCCGTGTGTGGGCGCCACTTACCGACGGAGAACGCAGCGCTCAACACACACGTGGACGAGTGTTTGAACCGGCACCTGCTTTCGTCCATCGCAACTCCCGATACACACGACATGCACAATACAGCAGCAGCACCTACAACAACAACAACTACAACAGTATCAGCAGCAACAACAACATCAGTAGCAGCGAGAGGCACAGTTGAAGCGACAGCACCAACAGCAACCGGCACACCTCGACCCACATCTACACCAGCACCTTCGTCGTCATTCTCATCGTTGCAGCTGTTCTCGTCATCGAACAAGAAGCCACCAGGGCAGCAAAGGGCCTCCAGCAAGAAGAAGAAGAAGAGGAGGAAACAGACGATGCAGAAGCAAACTGCAACAAGTGCCGTTGACATTCGACACGCACTGAGCAGAGCAGCCCAGCGATGGTCGTAGTGGTGGATGCTGTCGTGTCGTGCGTGTGCGTGTGTTCGGGCAAGAACGGACAACTTGCATTGCACACACACGCACGCACGCACACACACACACACGCGCGCGTGTTGATATGTCTGTCTGTGATATCTGAGGATAAGAGCATCGCATTTATTTCTAAACGAAACAGAACCAACAACAGCAACAAAACACCATCAAACCGTTGAGCGAGCAGTCACCCGTGCACCATTAGCGGGTATACAGGAGGGAGAAGAGAGAGAGAGAGAGAGAAAGGGGGGGGGGGCATTTAACACAGGAGGGGAAGAGCACACGAAGAATGAAAGCACAGGTCACAAACCAGAGGAGAAAAAAAAAAAGGAGCAACAAAATGGAGAGGGCCAAAGATCGACGGGGACGGGCGATGATGGGATGTGATGCGTATGCACAAGCACAGAGTGGAGGAATCAGACGACTGCATCTCACAGTTTAAGGTCCATGGGATAGCAGCAGGGGCAACACGTTGTGGCACCAGTGCACACACAGAGGCGTGCTGGCGTGTGCATGAGAGATGAGTGTGGAGGAAAGAGGACACGGAAGGGGGGGGGGGCATCAGACACGCGTTAGTTCAAGACAGGGAGGGGGGAAGGGAGGGGTAGTTGTGACGGCAGCAATAACAGCGAGGAGGCCGATGAAGGGGTGTTGAGCGTTATTGCCGGAAGAGGTAGAGGTTGTTGACTGCTGCGAGGGCCATGATGTTCCTGTTGGGGTGCCAGTCCGCGTGCATGATCTTCTGGTTGAGGTTGATCTGGTCCGCGTGCAAATCGTAGCGCGACCGCGGCTGCTCCGCGCCTGCAGACGTAGCAAGAAGGAAGGGGAAGCAAGCCGGGGGGGGGAAGGAAATCAATAAAGGGACGAAAGACACATGTGCACACATACACATGTGTTCGACAGGCAGAGAGGCAGGGAGACACAAACACATATGTGTGTATAGACCAGCCGACCGATCCACCAACACATAGGCAGACACACACCACATGTGGGAGGTACCTGTGAGGACGGTGATTGGGGAGAGGACGTGTGTTGGCCCCTCGATGGCGTCGCGCGAGGCCTGCAGCAGGACATCCTGTCCGCTTTCCCTCTCAAACACGTGGAACAGGTTGCTGTAGGATCCGCCCATGACAGACCTGTACACAACACACACACACAAAAAAACGGATGGCGTGGATTGAGTGCAAGGCAGGGGGAGGGGGGAGGCAAAGGGAGAGAGAGAGAGAGAAGGGGGGGGGGATGCAACAAGTGGAAATGAGGGCGCAATTGGGGAACAACCACAACCACAACCACATCCGCGATGGAGCACAATCATGAGTGTGATCAGGCGCCACGGCATGCAGTGTCGGTGGGCGCACCTTCCGTCGCCGCTCCAGACGGCCTCAAACTTGTCAAAGATGCAGTCGTTTTCGTACAGATCGCACAGCTTTGGCTTGAGAAAGTCGTGCAGCGAAAACTCCTGCACGGGCCGGCTCTCCATCGCAACGTCCCAGATCTGATGCGCAACGGGATGAAGAGAAGTTGGATTGGGATGCAATGGGATGAAGAGGTGGGAGAGGGTGGAGAGGACGCGTGGGTGAGGCAGATGTGGGAAACAGCAGAGGGTGGCGGGCACGATCAAGGTATGAACAGCGCAGCGCGTTAATAACACATACACACACACAACCACACACACACACACACACACACACACACACACACACACACACACACACACACACACACACACACAACCACACATACACACACGCACACAACCACACGTCCACCTTGAGGGTGAGGTAGTCACGGGACATGATGTATTTGCCGTCGGGGCTGAACTTGACGTCTGCAATCGACGACAAAATCTCAGAGAAAAACCCTTTGTTCGCCTCGTCAACCGTAATCTCAAACTCTGCGCACGCACAAGCAGGCGTCGTGAAGCAATGGGCAGTGTGTTGTGAAGGCAACTGTGAGCGTGAGGAGCACTGTTCAGGCAACACACGAGCGGCATGTGTTAGCAGCCCAAATCACAGTCTGCAAACGACAACAAGCACGAGCACACCATCACACGTCTGACAACACACCACCCCAAAGTACGCCACAGCGGTTGATCAAGAACAACAATAAGAACAGGGACAGGAATAGGAACACTTCAACACAATCATCATCATCATCATCATCATCATCATCATCATCATCACGGCAACGGACGTTTTGCGTGCGAGTCGCAGAGGGCGGCCTGGCGCATGTCGGCCATCTTGATGATGCCGCGGCTGCTGCCGTAGATAAACACGTTGCACTCCTGCGGATGAAACTCAGCACACGTGATCACCTGCCCCGCACAACACAAGGAGATGGGTGATGGGTCACATCAGTCAGAGATCGTGTGAGGGCAGTGGCGGTCAGGAAGCGATGTGTATCGAGGCGGGTTGCGCACAAAACGTGAATGAATGCACACGCAACGCAACACGACGGAATACGACAAGTGTGTCAGCGCTCGCGTCAGCCCTCTCTGTCTCTGTCTCTGTGTTAGCGCACCTCTGTGAGGTCGTCCATGTTCTCTGGCTTCATGTCGACAATGTTGAATGACTGGTCGGTGATGGAGAGATTCCACAGGTTGATCCGCAGATCGTCCGCAGACAAAAACGTCTCCTCGTCGCTGCACACACAAGCACACAGCATAACGCAAGGCGGCCGCATTCGTACGATACAGCGGAGTGAGCGAATACATGCACAAACGTGTACGTATGTGCGTGTGTGCATGTCTTGAAAGTCAGGGGTGAGGAGACGTGGCCTACAAGGGGCGGTGGTGATGGCGAGAACAAGGCTGTGCGCGAGGTTGCGGGTGGCACCTGTTGACGGAGATGGAGTTGATGTGATACGTGTGCGCATTTGCGTAGATGCGCTTTGCCCTGCACACAATCAAGCAGCGGATTGCATCCAGCGAGACGCGCGCGCAGCAATAGCGGAACAGGGAATAAAAAACGGCAGCGTAATGAGAACGGCAGCATGGTGGCAAGAAGCAACGTTTTGGTTGCATGCGAAGCAAACCCGAAAGCAGAGCCGTGCACATCAGTGCAACAACAAGTCCCCCCCCCCCAAAGCCAACAACAACAACAACAACAACATCTGTCCATCTGTCCATCCCACTGCATCTCCATCCAAACGCCCCGACTCCCTCGACGCTGCACGGCACGAAACGACACGATGCGATTGTCCATTGCTTACCGCGCGTCAATCTCGACCTCCTGCGTCGTGAGGAGCTGCGGCACGCGAATCTCGGGCGCCGCCTTGCCAATCTGCGCAGGCGCATGCTCTGCAAACACCGAGGCACGGTCGACACGGGGTGTTTCGTGAGAGCCGTGCCAGTACGCAGCAGTAGCAGCAGCAGACGCATAGCACACACTACACTAGACTACACTACACACACACACACACAGCCACACACAAAAAACAAACAAACGCATACATACATACACACACCTGTTTCGACACGGACGGCGCGTTCCCTGACTTTCCACAGCTTGACGGTTTTGTCGTTTGTCGTCAGCAGGAAGTGGGCGTGCTATGGTGTGTGTGTGTGTGTGTGTGTGCAAGTGCATGTGTGTATGCGTGTGTGTGTTCATGTGTGTGTGTGAACGAGTGAATGGGTAGCTTGCGTTGCATGCAGTGCGGTGAAGAGCAGCAGTGTCATGCGTACACGCACACAGTGTGCACCATCACTTGCTCACAATCACACAGCGCCAAGTACCTTCCCCCCACACATCAACACACACACACACACACAAACTCCAAAGCTCTCACGTTGCAGCGCTTGAGCCATTGAATCTGGTTGATCTTTTCCTCAATCTCCATGCTCTTGAGGTAGTCAAACTCCGCCTCGTGGCTCTGAAACTCTGTGTAGAATCTGTACTCTGCAGGGCTCCCCACCTGTCGACACAGCACGACATGCGGTGAGCATGGAGCCACAGCAACCGCAACAGCAGCAGCTTGGGGCATGATGGAAGTCAAACCCTCCAAGCATCCTTACACACAGCAGTTTACCATGCGACAACGCTGTTGAACATGCGCACAAACGAGGTATTTGGGAGAGAGGAAGCAGGCAGCGCGGCACGTTCGCAGCGGCAGAAACAAATAGCGTTGAGCGACACGCACACGCACGCGCGCGCACACACGCACATCTGATTGGTTGCGCTCGAAGAGCACGACACGGCCGCCGCGGTCGCCGGTTGCGAGGTACTCCCCGCTGTGGCTGAACTGAACGGCAGAGATGATGTCGGCTGCACCAGCACGGCCATGATAGGAAGATTGGGTGATGGCAACGACGATGAGGGTGAGGATTGGCACAAAGGGAGAGGCTCACGCGTTGTTTTCTGACCGGCGATCGCTTGAAGTACGGTCATGTAAACGCAACTGCACAGAGAGAGAGAGAGAGAGAGAGAGAGAGAGAGAGAGAGAGAGAGAGAGAGAGAGAGAGAGAGAGAGAGAGAGAGAGAGAGAGAGAGAGAGAGAAACACACAGAGACGCACACAGAGACGCACACACACAAACAAAGACACAGACACACACACACACACACACACACACACACACAGACACAGACAGGCAGACATTCATCGCGTTCAACAAAGAAGCAAGTCGCGCTCAATGTGAATACGCAGCGCACCGTCAGCGATTTCATCGTCCTCTTCAACGCGGTCGCCAAACACCTGTGAGAAGTTCCAGACCAGAGGCTCTGGCAGCCCATCAACCCTCGCCGCCATCGTGTGTTTGTGTTGTCACGAAGATGCCAATGCGCGCTCGTTGGAGCCGTGTGTCGGCCGTGTAGCTGTCTTGCTGGTCGCTGCTTGTCGATCGACACGCTGTCTGTCCTTTCGTGCGTCTGAGTGCGAGTCCTTGGCTGCTGTGCTTGCTTGCTGTGCTTGTTTGCTGGATGCTGCGCTGCCTGTTGTTGATGGTGGTGGTGCGGCCGTTTCTCTTCCTCCTTCCTCTCCTTCTTCTTCTTCGTCTTGTCTGTCTGTCGGTTGTTCGTTCGTGTGGTGAATTCCCTCGTTGCTATCCACCACCTACGATTCGCAACGCATTCACGTCAGCCAATGCGCACAAATTTCCGCTGACTCAGCGAATTCTGGCTGCCGCGAAACTTTGATGATGTGACATGGCGCTGATGCAACCGCGACCTTCATCAACGTCATCGTTCCTTTTTGAACGCATCGCTCGCGTCGCCAACCACACACCACGCGCACCACGAGCCAAGCTCAGCAACCACTTTGAACCACCACCACACATCACCACGTGTGTTGGCTAGTTATTCGTCAGTTCATTCATCATCGACACGGCACACGCACATACGCACACAGACACACACACACACAGCCACACACACACATTTTCACGCACACACGCACACACAGACACACACTTTTACACGCAACAACAACTGCATATCGCCATGATGGAAGACAACTTTGTGCTCGTGCACCACACGCACGACGAGGACATTGAGGTTGCGCATCAGAAGCAGCTGTTGAAGCAGCTGCAGCAGCGCGAGGAGAAGCGCCAAGAGCGCCTCAAACGCCAGGAGGCGAGGCTCAGGCGCCAGATGGAGAGAGAGCAAGGCATCAGCACCAGCACGGCAGACAATAACGTCTTTACCGAGGGGCAAGGGGATCAGGAGGAGCAGGAGGACGATGATGACGACGTGCCCAACGACGTGATGGTGCCGGAACTGGCGCGCAACATGTACATGCACATGCTCATTCGCTGCAACGGCCGCGATGTCCTGCTCAAGCGTGAGATTGACGGCCCGCTCCCGCCAACGCTTGCCCGCATCGCCAAGAAGTTTAAAATGAAGGCTGACGACGTGCGCGTGGATACGCAGGGCGCCAGCACGCCCACCCAAGCCCCGACGATCGGCGCTGAGCCTGTGAAGCGCGATGCTGTGGAGCAGCCGCAAGCAACAACGACGACAACGCCATCCGCAGCCACAGCCGCCACCACGGCTACGGCAACGACCGCGACAGCGCCGGCTGTGCCGCAAATGATCACGGTGACGGACGAGCACGCGGAGACGCGCGTCGACGCGACGTCGCCCACCGTCGGCGCAGCAGAGGACGTGTACGGCAACCCGATCAACACGAACACCAAGGACCCGAGCAAGCTGTCCAACTACTGGGCATTCCGCCAGGGCTGTGCGCTTGTGCTGGGCGATCAGCAGCTGCCCGTGTATCACCACGCGCCGGTGGTGGTGTCGCTGTTTGTGCGCGGGTTCCCCATGGTCGGCAGCATGCTGCACCCCATGGCAACCCTGCACAACTGCACGGCCAACACCTGCAAGTGGGCGTGGTACCGCACCTCCAAGTACGTGTCGCACAAGGTCATTGAGCGCGTGGACGCGTTTGGACAGCACGCCAACATCGAGGTCTCGGAGGCGGACGGCGACGTGCTTGTGGCCACGACCCGCCGCTACACCCCGACCGCAGACGACATTGGCCACCGCCTCATCTGCATGTGCACCCCCGTCAACGAGCTGTGCGCAGGCATCCCCGTGTGTGTCCTTGTTGGTTCGCGTGATGACACCCGCATCAACCGCCAAGACTTTTACACCAGCGGTACCGACAACAACGACAGCGGCAACGGCAACGACAACGGCAGCAGCGTTGAGACGCCAGCAGCGCGATGCCAGCGCCTGTCCCGGTCCGTGTGCGAGATGCAGCTGCACCCTGTCGTGCTTGCCCGCCACGCCTTTGCGCAGAGCCGCGAGCTCTCGCCAGGCATGATGCGCGTGGTCTCGTACAATATCCTGCACGACATGTTTTGTGATGGCACGTTTGCGCTGGAGCACCTGTACCCGTACCTCGACCCGATCCACGCCAAGACCAACTACCGCCACCGCCGCATTGCCGAGGAGATTGCAGGCTACCTGCCAGACTTTGTCTGCCTGCAGGAGGTTGGACACGCAGAGTTTCACGAGGTGCTCGAGCCACGCCTCGGTGCAGCAGGTGCGTTGCTGCTGGTGGGGCGCTGTCGGCAGTGGTTGATGGTGTGATGGTGACGGCGGTGGTGATGGTGGTGGCAGCAATGCGTTTCTGGTGGTGGCTATGTGTTTGAAGCCCGTGGTGGTGGTGGTGGTGGTGGTGGTGGTGGTGGTGGTGGTGGGACAAGGGTGTGGCCGAAGATCGTGACAAACGACCCCACAGCGTGTTTACCATGTGCTTGCGTTACCTTTCACTGACACCCCCTCCCTCCTTTCGCCAACGACTTGTCGATTTGACGTTCAGGTCTGCATGGCGTGTATGCGAACAAAATCAGCCAGCAGCGCTGGGGGATGGCCACGTTCTTCCGCCGTGAAAGGTACAGCATTGTGTGTGTGTGTGTGTGGTGTGTGTGTGTGTGTGTGCTTGCATTTGTTGAAGTCTCGCTCGGCGCTGAACTATTCTTGAAACCCTCCACGCCTCACATCCGTTTCTTGCTCACCCGATGTTCCTCTGTGCTCAATCGCCACCCCCACCACGACCACCGCCGCCACCATCATCACCATTTGCCATTTCCATCATCACCATTCCGACCACCGCCGCCACGACGACGGCGACGACTGCGTGTCAGGTGGTCGCTGCTTGAGGCGCACCGGCTCAACCTGACGCGACAGTGGCGCGTGCACAGCACTATTGCAAGTGTGGCATCGTCCCAGCCTGCGCTGCAGGATCAGCTTGAGAACAGCACGACCGTTGCCCAGCTGCTGCTGCTGCAGTGTGCAGACGGCAGCCGCCACTATGACGGCCAGCTCCTGTGCGTGGTGAACTGCCATCTCTTCAGCCACCCAATGGCCCCGCACGTGCGCGTGATCCAGGCCGCCGTGATTGCTGCGGAGATCAAGGACCGCTTTGGTGCCGTGCCCGTCATCTGGTGTGGTGACTTCAACGCCAACCCAAATGCAGCCGTTGTCCAGTTTCTTCACCACCGCTCGGTCCGTCATCACGCTGACTTTCTTGCTTGCTTCGTGTGTGTGTGTGTGTGCGTGTGCGTGCGTGTGTGTGTGTGTGTGTGTGCGTGTGCGTGTGCGTGTGCGTGTGCGTGCGTGTGTGCACGTGGGCTGGTATGTCTTCGAACATGGTTCTTTTGAGTGCGATACCTTGAACGCTCTTGTTAACCCTTCCATACACACACACACACGCACACAGATTGAGGAGACACACCCCGTGTGGGCGGAGGGCGCGTGCATCACACGGTTCAAGTCTGCCACAAAGGCCCAGCGCGAGGCCAACTGGCACAGCGTGCTAGGTAGCGCTGAGGTGCACATGGCTCGCTCCTACTTTGCCACGCTTGCCTCCGCGGACACGCAGTTGCTCAGCCCTGTCGCCATGTTCTCCTACACGGACGCGCACGGCGCTGAGGGGCTTGCGGCAACAAAGGCGTTTGGCGAGGATGCGATGCGCGCGTGCACGCAGGAGGGCGGCCTGTCGTACCAGGACTTCTTTGGAGCGCTGGTCGACCTCCGCTTGGAGGCGCCGGACCTCTTTTCCGCCCTGCAAGACAACGCCCCTCCCATCGATGACCTCCGCAGTGGCATGGGCAGCCGCACCAACAGCACAAGCGGTGGTCTTCGCAGCAGGCTCGCCTCGTCCCCGACAACAACAGTAGCGCCACACGCCGCACCAGCACAGCAACAGCAGCAGCAAGGGGAAGAGGAGTCGTTGGCGAGCAGCAGGACACCAGATCCTGCACTGACGCGGGCTGCCATCAGCAGTGCCGCTCTCACGGTTCCATCGCCGTCCTCGCAGCACCTGCAGCTGCGTGACAGCGGCGCCAGCACCACCTCCATCGTCAGCCTTGCGTCGCGTGCGCTTGTGTCCGGGTTTGGGCTGAGCTCGTTCTCCATGGCGCTGCAGCACAACCTTGAGCTGCACTGCTCTGTTCGCCAGCCCACGTACAGTGCCGGCATCCCCGCCAAGCCCGAGCAGGTGGACTATGTCTTCTACACCCCGCAGATCCAAATGCGCATGGAGCAGCCGCCCACGTTTGCGTTTCACCACATTGAGAACGGCCTCCCCAGCGAATTCCTGCCGTCTGACCATGTTGCCTCTGTTGTCGATTTCGCGTGGAACCGCATGGCCCTGCAACAGTAAACAAAGAAATCTGCTGCAACGGCACTGCGGCCACCACCGCCACTACCACCACCACCGGTAACGACGAGGGGTGGTGGCCACACCTGCAAGAGGGCATCTGGTGTGCCCGCAACAACCAAGTAGTCATTGTGAATAGGCGAGGCGGGAGCTCCCTTACTGAAAACTAAATTATGGTGGGAGCGTCAGGTGTTTTCGTCACACCAACCACAACCACGCCCGTCTGTTGGTGATTGATATAATGGCTTGTAAGGTGGAAGGAATAGCGTCGCAGGTCGTGTCACATTCCTGTGATGTGATTTGTTTCGAATACAAAGGAACAACACCCACACTAGCAGCATGAGGTTTCTCGCAGCTACCATCGTGGCTACGGCCCTGCTCGCGACAATGGCCTCCGCCCTCAGCCCAGGTCAAACCTCGCCCAGTAACACGGACGAGGCCGATGTGTCTGGGGTTGCCGTCGATTACATTGACATTGGCAGTGCCGCATATGAGGCGTTGAACAACTTTGACACCTTCGTTGGCACCTCCGTGAGTTTGGCAGTGCTGGCGTGCTGATAGCATCGTAGAATCATGCCCTTCTTATCTCGTGTCGAACCAACACATACTAAAGCATCTGCACCGACATTGCCTCAAACTGGCTTGCACACACGAGGCCCAACAACGCTGAAACGCTTCCCCAAGCCACGTTGCACTCTCTGTTTCCATCACCCACTCACTCACACACACACACACACACACACACACACACACACACACACACACACACACACGTAACAGCATGGTATTGTGTTCGACAAGGAGTCGCACAAGCTGATGACCCAGTACATGGCACAGCTTCTTCAAGCCCTTGACAACGCCATTGGCGAGGACATTGCTGTTGTCCGCGGGTTCCAGTCACGCCCCCAAGTCCCAACATCGGCCCCCTCACTCCTTGATGTTGGTCGCGCCCTTCGACTTCGGTACAAAGCGGATGGCAGTGCATCCTCCGATGCCCGCCTCAGCACCCTTGCCCAGGCCTGCATCAACGCCGGCTTTGACTTTGTGGCTGTGCCCGCAGACACGACCACAGACAACTACGTCTATGTCAGCACCCCCAAGATGGACTGCGGTGACGCTGTTGCAGACCTTCTGTTCATTCTCGATGGCTCCGGCTCTGTTGGCTCTGGCAACTTTCAGACCATGCTCAACTTTGCCCAGGAGGTGGTGTCCTTCTTCGACGTCGCACCCGACAAGACGCGTGTTGCTGCCATGGTCTATGACAGCTCCAACTACCGCAAGTTTGATTTTGACTACATTCAGTCCGTCTCCAAGCAGCAGCTCATCAACTACTTCGACACGTTCGCCTACCCTGATGGTGAGCGACAGAGCGGTTGACGTGATTTGCTGCTTTGGTGCAGATAATTTGGATATGAATGAATGCTGTTTGTCGGTGTGCGCCTTGAGCATCTTGACTTACACTCTCACCTCCCTCCTTGTGGGTTTCCCTGCTGCAGGTGGTACGGAGACTGGCAGCGCCCTCTCCTTTGCTCTCAGCAGCATGTTCGTCACATCCCGCGGGGTGAGCGTGTACATGTGTGTGTGTGTGTGTGCGGGTCGATGTGCGTGTTCATGTTCATGTGCTGTTTGCACATGACCCCACAGCAAGTTCCCCAATGTGGGCGCCTGTCTTCTTTGAGCTCACACCTGTCTTGCATCTGTGTGCGCATAGGCTCGCGACTTGAGCGAGGGTGTGCCTCGTGTTGCCATTGTTATCACGGACGGCAAATCCGGCGACGATGTTTCTGCACCAGCGCAGGCCCTTCGCGACGCTGGCGTTACTCTCTATGCTGTCGGTGAGAACGGAAGTGGATAGCGTTGGGGATTCTGAGGTTGAGTTTGACGAGACGAGATAGAGGTGTGGAAGATTGTGGACACACCCAGCGGGAGTGAGCTTGCGAGGTTCATACGATAAGTATCACTCACCACTAATAAATGACACCACGCTGCAACTTCGACACGAACAGGCATCTCTGGTGCTGATGTGAGCGAGTTGAACCAGATTGCCAGCCCACCTGTTGAGGACAACGTTGTCTTCATTGACACGTTCAGCGAGTTCTCCGCCCTTGCCTCGAAGATTTCCCGCGCCAACTGCGACCAGCCTGCTAGTGTCTCCTCCGACATTGACGTGCGTGTGTGCGTGTGTGTGTGTGTGTGTCTGTCTGTCCAAGAGCAGACATGGGATCTCCTTCGCCTTGCTCGCCCTCTAACAACCCTTTCAATCACTGCACCATCCCTTGCTATCGTCGCTGTCGTGCAGATTGAGGTCAACAACACCTCCCCCGGTGACATCCGCTACTACCGCCCGGACCTTGATGGGCTCACAGAGTCCGTCCTCATCGTTGTTGAAACTACCGGTGGCGCAACGTAAGTGAGAGCTAGTGTGTGTGCGCGTGTGCGTGTGTGTGTGTGGGGGGGTTGGGGGTTGGGGGGGGGGTTGGGGGAGGTGCGCAAGTGCGTGCGTGTTTGTTTCCTGCCCGAGTCGACCATCGTTGTCTCGCCTCTTTTCCTCCACACTAACACAAACACAAACACAAACACAAACACAAACACAAACACAAACACAAACACAAACACAAACACAAACACACACACACACACTACAGTGATCTGTACGTGTCGACCAACCCCAACCCTGGTCCATTCAACTATGACTATGCTGTGGAGAACGACGACGCAATCAAGGCAGTGCTGGTGGACAACACTGGCAACGAGGACTACTACGTGAGCGTGCGCAGCCGTTCCGACGACCCCGCAGACACCGTCAGCTACCGTGTGATAATCACCAACGCCATTTTCCAAGGCAACGCCAGCTACACCATCTACGTCAGCACCGACGAGAACGTTGCAGGCACTCCCATCTTCACGCTGCCGCCACTCCGCAGCTTCGACGTTGTGCCCTCGTTCATGTTTGACCTGTTTGGTCCGGATGAGGACAAGTTTGTGCTCGTCAACGACAGCGAGGTGGTGCTGACGGCCCCACTCGAGTTTGGCAAGCGGCACGTGGTTGCCATTGAGGGCATCGACGAAGCCAACAATCTCGCTGGCGGCATTGCCCTCAACGTCATCTACAACGAGATGCCGTGGACGGCCAGCCCCGACAATGGCCACGAGTACCAGATCAACTACCTGAAGAAGCTCAACTGGTTCGACGCCAAGGAGGCGTGCGAGGCAAACAACGCCCAGCTTGCCTCCGTGTCCTCAGTGCAGGAGAACAACTGGCTTGCCGAGCTCGCCCTCAACACCACCCTCGGCTCTGGTCTGCATCAAGCCTGGCTTGGCGGCCACTTCCCGCCCGTGTTCGCTTGGACCGACGGCTCTGCCGCCACCGACTTTGGCTTCCCGTGGAGCGTCGAGGACAACGACCCGCACGCGCACTGCCGCTTCAATTGCCTTGCCCTCAAGTTCAAGGACAAGAAGACCACGCCCGCTAGCGAGTGGAAAGATCTCCGCTGCGGTCGCAAGCGCGCGTACATCTGCAAGCGCCCCATCGCTGCTTGAGCCGCAGCATAGGGTGGAGTTTGCCGCATGGAACGGCAAAGACTTCTCGACTACTTGGCGTTGTCTTGCTCTTGTGATGTCAGAGTTCACTTGCTTTCTCTCTCTTTGTGTGTGTGTGTGTGTGTGTGTGTGTGTGTGTGTGTGTGTGTGTGTGTGTGTGTGTGTGTGTGTGTGTGTGTGTGTGTGTGTGTGTGTGTTGGGGACGCTCGTATCCCGATTCGCTATCAGTACACCACAAGCTGCTTTCATTTCTGGTTTCCACTCCAAGTAAGTGAGGGATGCTCGAGACACACTAAAGGGGGAGGAGGGAAGCATACACAATCAAGCACACATCAAGTGCAGCGGACACGAAAAGGGATGAAGAGCCGGCACGATGCATGGTCACCATGTTGGCACGATTGCACTTCTTTGCTTCTCACTACAACAAACTCGCGCAGCGCCAGCATCGTCATCCACTTCAGCAGCACGTCATCGCAGTAGTCGCTGTGGTGCAGCTGCCTCATCTGACAGGCCACCAGGCTCAGCGCAATGGCCGTCATTAATGACAGCTTGAAGTCGAGGCCCGGCTCCAGGTTGTTGGCGTCCAGAAACGCAACCAGGTCGCGCGGCTCCAAGCGCGGGTGCAGCTGCTGGCATGTTCCATGTGGTGGCGTGATGGTGGTTATGCTTATCGATGCGCCTACAGTGTGTGTGTGTGTGTGTGTTGGGGACGCTCGTATCCCGATTCGCTATCAGTACACCACAAGCTGCTTTCATTTCTGGTTTCCACTCCAAGTAAGTGAGGGATGCTCGAGACACACTAAAGGGGGAGGAGGGAAGCATACACAATCAAGCACACATCAAGTGCAGCGGACACGAAAAGGGATGAAGAGCCGGCACGATGCATGGTCACCATGTTGGCACGATTGCACTTCTTTGCTTCTCACTACAACAAACTCGCGCAGCGCCAGCATCGTCATCCACTTCAGCAGCACGTCATCGCAGTAGTCGCTGTGGTGCAGCTGCCTCATCTGACAGGCCACCAGGCTCAGCGCAATGGCCGTCATTAATGACAGCTTGAAGTCGAGGCCCGGCTCCAGGTTGTTGGCGTCCAGAAACGCAACCAGGTCGCGCGGCTCCAAGCGCGGGTGCAGCTGCTGGCATGTTCCATGTGGTGGCGTGATGGTGGTGGTGGGGAGGAGAGATTGGTGGTTGGTGTGATGAGTGGAAGTTGTGTGTATCAGCAGTAGTCGTGGTGGATGGGAGTCACAAACAGACAGAGACAGACAGGCACACACACACACACACACACAGACACACAGACAGACACACACACACACACACACCTGTAGCCGATGAAGACGTCGTATCACTCCTGCAGGCCGAGGACTGGCAGGAGAGGACCATACTTGGGCGACCAAGTCATTGGGCGACAGCAGGTGTTCGTCAACCCACAGCCGCGTCCTGTCGACGTGGAGCACGCTGTTTTCACCTGCAGAGAGTACAGCAGGTGGAGACGAACATGCGTTGTGAGTTGGAGATGAGCGGTTAGAGAAGGTCAACACGACTGCTGGTGTAGGTTGTTGACCCATCACACATGCACCCGCTCGCACACACAGCGGCTGCAAGGATATACACGTGCGTGCCAAGAAAGACAGCGCATGGCAGCCGCCTCCAATGACAGCTGGGTGCCCACGCTCACTTGAGTTGCGTGACAGCCGTGTTGTGCGTCAGCGCGTCTGCCAACGCCACAGCACCGTCCGGTGCAAGCTGTCAACATGCAAAGCAGTGGTCACTGGTAACGACGGAAAAGAGGAGCAAGGGGAGGGATCGTGAGTGGCAAGCGAAGGGGGTAGAAGGGTACACTGACATCACACACGGGCTTCAGCCACTGGCTTCAGGTGTGCTGTGCCACAGCGTGGCATTGCGCTCAGCCATGAACTGGGGGTGGGCTGTGCAATCACAACACACGCCAACGACACTTCTCTCCCATGCATGGGTTGTGTCAAGACTCACTTGAGCCGCGCGATGGTCGCATTGTGCTTCAGCCCTTGTGCCAACGCTGTAGCGCCCTCGGGGCTGATGTGGTTGCTGCTCAGGCTGTAGCCCCACAACCAAAACCACGATGGTGGGAGGGGAGGGGAAAGGGAAGGTAGGGGTGGTTGGTCATGAGCCAAGGGCGAAGGCAGCACGAGGAACATGACATGGCATGATGGAAGCGGTGCGCATGACGGTAGCTGCTGAATCAGTGGCGCGTGTCGCATGCAATCCATATGTGCACGCACGCACGCACTCGAGTCTTGTGACGGTGGTGTTGTCCTTGACAGCCACTGCAAGTGCGCGCATTCCACCATCGCTGTGTGTGTGTGTGTGTGTGTGTGTGTGTGGTGTCATCCCTTGGTCACCTCACTCACGTTTGTAGAAGCGTACGGATTCAGGCTGGATATGTCGTTGTCACCAGTTTGGATATAACGAAGTTCACATTTCTCGATCTGTCTGCGGCTACTGAGTATTATTCGATGTACGTGCGATACGGCAAGTGCGCGCATTCCTACCACTCGCTGTGTGTGTGTGTGTGTGTGTGTGTGTGTGTGGTTGGCACAGTAAACAGGACGCGACGGCGTTCTGACAACGAGGCGAGGCAAGCACAGCAAGCCAAGCCGGACGCTCGACTCGAACTGTTGCAGACAACACACAACACACACACTCACACACACGCACTCACTCACTTTGCGCGTGGCTCAGACGTGTTGTTGGCGATGGCGCGAATCAGGTCCTTTACCTCCTCATCTTCGATCTGCGTCTGCACCAACAGGCCCTCCACCTCCTCGCTCACTGTCTTCTGTCCGCCGGACATGGCCGATGATGGAGTTGGTGGGGCTGCTGTGCGTGGCGGTGGTGCTTGAAGGTCGTGTCGTCAACGGCGGTTTGACCGAAATTCCAAACAGCCAACGGTTGACAAAACCGGACGAGACACTGGCTGCTGCACGAACAACAAGTCAACGCAAAGGTGAGGTGGAGGGGGTGAGGTGCAGTGAGGGGAGGTGTCATTGGTGGTGTTGTGCGTGCCACGTTCCTTCCTTCCTTCCCCTTCTTCGTCCTCGCTGACGCATTCACACACATTCACACATGCAGGGAGGGTGTACACACCGTCTCTCTTCTCCCTTCTCCCTTCCATCCATCCTTCCATCGTTGTCCATTTCCTTCTCCTGTGATGAACCACGCACAACCAACCAACCAACCAACGACCACATGAATGACACATCTATCGACAGGTGAGACTTTTTCCTCCCACTCCGTGCTCCTCTTCCCCTTCTTCTCCTTGCACACTGCGCACAGCAACAACAACCACCACCATCAACAACAACAACACCACAGCGTACGCTGTCACCGTGCACACACACATGTGGACCACAATCCGTGCATCCATGGGTGGTTGGATCACAACCAACACACCACTGCGTGTGGCACTCACAACTGCACACACACACACACACTTGCTCACCGTTGTGTGGTGACAGAACAACTGCCATCAGCCACCGTCATGCAGCGGCGACCCTGAGAATGGATCATGCAACCTCTCAACCAGTGAGCAGCACACACATGAGAGAGAGGGGGAAATGACATCAACCAACATCACAGCCAATGTGTGTGTGTGTGTGTGTGTGTGTGTGTGTGTGTGTGTGTGCACGAGTTGTGTTCCTTCTCATCCTCCTGCCTTCTCCTCCTTTCTGTCTGTGACACGCTGGTCACTGTTGTTGTTGTTGCTTGTTGCTTGCTTGTTTGTTGTGGGTGTAGATGGATGTCTTCCATCATCATCATCATCAGCAGCAGCAGCAGCAGCAGGTGCTGGCTGATGCGTGAGGCAGTGGGCAACCCCCACCAACCAACCCACAAACGACTACATGCTGACGGATGAATGGTGATCCAACCACTGCATCACCCAGACAGTTGTGCATGTGTGTGTGTGTGTGTGTCGACGTGCACGTGCTCTTCTCCACCCATCCACACGCCATCATCACCACCTCCTCATGTTCTTGTGTGTTTGCTCACATCCTTCCCTTCCCACCCTCAACACCACCACCACCACCACCCTCCACGCTTGCTTGTTTCCCCTTCCTTCCTTCTGCTGTTGCCGCACACAGGGCCTTGAGCCAGAAGCTGTCACCCCTCCACCAACCACCGCTGCTCTCGTGGGATGAACAGACGAGCATTGCCATGTAATGGTCATCCAGCCACGCCTGTGCGGCTGTGGAAACAGCAACACCAACACACACCACACCACAAGCAAGCGATGAACAACGTGAGTGCATCTCTCCATGTGCGTGTGTATGCTGCGCACCGCACCAGTGTGCGTGTTTTGTGCTCGCTGTCTCTGTTTCTCCTGTCTCCCCTTGTTGTCCACATCAATGTGCATGCATGTGTGTGGTGCAGCTGCCTGTTTTGCCTTGCTTGATGCGCTGTCTCATTCGACGTTCTCACACACAACTGCCTGCACACTTGCACATTCTCCACCTTGCCGCTGCTTATATTCCCCTCTCTTCCTCGCCCTCCCTGACGGCCATCACAACAACAGCAACAACAACAACAACACCAGCAGCAGCCAACACACCCTCCACCGCCGATGCAGCAGCAGCAGAGGATGCACCACCACCATCACTTGCTGCTGAACACATCCCCCAACCAACCAACCAAGCCATCACCCAATGCTGCTGCTGGCGGAAGCTGGCTGTTTGCAGCTGGGAACAGGTGGCGACAGCACAAGTTGCATTTTCGGCTGGAAGCAGCAGCAGAGGTGAGGGCGAGAAGAAGAGGGGAAACGGCGAAGATATGTGTTGGCTGGATGGATGGATGGATGGATGAGGTGGGGTGGGGGATGCTGGGTGAGTGTGGTGTGGTGTGGTTGGCTGGTTGGTGACAGAGGACGGTGGTGTGGTGGTGGGGAAGAGGAATGGATGGATGGGTGGATGGAATGGGGTGCAGCATGTCTTGTTCTTTCCCTTCTGTTTTCTGTTTTCTCTCTCTTCCCTTTCTCCTCCTTCACACACAAATGCATGCACAACACCAGCAGAGGCATCAGCAGCATCAGTGTAGCTGCGCACATATTCATGCTCCCTCTTGCCCCTCACTCACTCACCACGCTGGTGCTCGCACACAAACACACTCACAGGCGATGCGCACACGCACAGGCAGGATGAGGGAAATGTCGAGGATACTTGCCACGCGTGCCAGCTGCACTCGCCTCACACATGGTATGTGGGTGGTGATGGGCGGTTGGTTGGTGGTGTGATAGGGTGCGGTGATGGTGCTGGGGTGCGGTAAAGCGAACACGAGGGAAGGGGGTTGATGGGGGGGGGTTGATGGACACACACATCGACACACACGCACACGTGTGAATGTGGTGTCAGTCACTCGTTCTGCTGTGCTGACGTGATGGCTTACTCTGTGCCTGTTGTGTTCTGTTCCCATCCACGTTCCCTGCAACCACACACACACATACATATGCACAGGTGGCGAGGTACCAGCACACATCAGGATGGTGATGGAAGCGGGCTAGCATGCCGGCTGCTGCTGCAACTTCCCCGATTCAGCTGCCGCTGCTGTGCTCATGCAGTATTCCTACATGCGTGAGCCCATCATGGATGCTTTGGTTGGCACATGGTGCATGTGTTGTTGTTGTTGCTGTGGGTGTGCTTGTTGTTGCTGCTGCTGTGTCTCGTGCACCAGTGTAGCTGTGCGACTCACATGCAATGTGTGCGTGTGTGTTATTGCGGCTGTAGGGAGCGACTGCCTGAGGATCGTTGGAGGATGATGGGCGGTACACACACATGATAGATTGGGAGGAGCAGCTGTGGACACACACGTCCATGGCCATGGCGGGCACATCCAACCACAGTGACGCAGTCATGTGCAGGTGTGTGTGCGTGTGTGTGTGTCGTGGGGCGAACAGGAGGAAAGCAAAAGAGGGGCAGCAGGAAGGTGAACACGTCTGCTGTGCTCACATGCCATGCATGTGTGTTGTGTGTGATGATGTCGTTGTGTCTTGTCGTTGTGTGTTGGTTGTACGGGCACCAGGGCCACGTCAGAGGAGGGGAAAGAAGCCGCCATGAACGACCCATCATCATCATCATCATCATCAACCTTCCCCATTTCTTTCTCCTTTCTCGCTCTTCCACCTCAGCTCCTCTGTCATCACCGTCATCATCATCGCCATCGACTGCACAGCCGCCATCACACTCCGGCTCACACCAGCCCCAATCTGGCGTGATGCAGACATTGCACATGTCAGTCGCTCTCATGAAGAGGTGAGCAATGTGTGTGTGTGTGTGTGTGTGTGTCGTGGTGGTGAGTGGGGACAACATGTGTGCGTGTGGTTGTGTGTCAGTGTGGATGGTTGAAATGGGGCTGGCGTGTGGTTGATGATGCGTCGCTGTCAACCTCACCCCCTGCATTCTCTCCCATTTTGTGTCTGTGCACACACATTTCACAGCGTTGAGGAGGCGCGCGCGCGCGCGCGCGCGTGTGTGTGTGTGTGTGTGTGTGTGTGTGTGTGTGTGTGTGTGTGTGTGTATGGTTCATGCCGACACCAACTGCACCACGGCGTCTTCCTGGCCCACCGTGCTCAAGATGGTGTGCGGCACACTGCTGTTTGCCCAAGGCGCCCCCTCGACATGTGCCTGTGCAAGGCTTAGCGCATCAGCTCAGGCACGCAGCTGGTGTTCAGCAAAGAGGGTGGGCGGGGTCTGCCTCGACTACTCCCGGACCCAAGCATGCAGGCTGAGACATTGCCATGCCGGACCCCCCCCCCCGGCAGCCTTCATCCAGACCGCACGAAACGCGGCAGCCCAGAACGGACACCATTGTGCTCGAAAACGCCACCACAACGACAAACGTGCGCGATCTCACCACATTCACGTGCAGACACATCAACGCGACCCTCTTGTAGGCCTCCGTGGCCTGTTGCTGTTGTTCTTCTCCTTGTTGCTGTGTTGGAATGTACGTCAGCAATAAGCAGTCCTCCACTACAGTCCGCAACAACAGCATGCGTCATCCGTTACAACAGCATGCGTCATCAGTTACAACTGCATACGTCATCAGCAACACCAACGACATAATCAAGAACATGTACTGTCTACGTGTTGTCATTTATCCTACAGCTTTTCTATGCGTTGAGTCTACATCATACACAGTATCCACACATCTGAACATGCTGG